GCAGATATCACAGCATACACACACACACACACACACACACACAATAAGATGTGAGCAGCTCCTCCTCCTCTATTTCTCAGTTTAATTTGATGGCGTTTTACAGGCCTTAAGATATAAAAGTATTCAGTATTTCACAAAATTAGAGAAACACATTTTTTTTTACTCTCTCTGTTCACCTGACCTGACTCTAGTCCTTGTTCTGTTCAGCTGTAATTTGCCTGCACAAACCTCAACCTGACTGTCTGCATAGGGGAATTTCCCAGATGATGCAATATCAAGATTGGACACTACAAGGCAGTGTTGTAAATCTATGCAGACAACCCATCATTAGTGTTTCACTCTGTTAGGTTAAGTGAAGACAGGATAACTGAGGTATGCACTGACAACAAATTAATTTGTGAATTCATGAATAGGATATCCCATAATAACAATATCTTAAGACATCCCTCCTGATATGCAGTAATGTTATACCGTGCCTATAGTGTGTCTCTAGTCTGAGTGATTATGCTTCTCTGCACCCCCTCTTCTTTCCCTCTCTGTGGGAATTGTCAATAGAAACAGGTCAACATCACTCAGGTTCTGTGAACTTTCTTAGTCGCCATGCTGACGAGAAAAAACAGATCGTGGGTGGGCAAGGAGGTACTGTACAGAGAGGCTCAAGAGAATCATTAAAATCCTTATATTCCTGTTGGAGAACTGAAGAGGAAACTTAATTTCAGCAGTGATGAATAGGAGGTAGTTCCTGACTCTCTGACATCAGTGTTTACATAACTGTTGTATGTGTGTTACTGACATGAGTGTTTGAGGTTTGATTTCTCAACTTGTTGTCTCCTTTTTGTGTGAGATAGTGGTGTTTAGCGATGTGAGCTGGATGGCTGTGGGGGTTGTAAATATTGTGTTTATGTGTGCACAGTGTGGAGGATATTTAGTGTGCTGTTGTGCATCCGTGTTTTTCTTTACAGCTCTCTTTTAAGGGGCTGTTGTTGCATGTTGTCATGATAGATAGATAGATAGATAGATAGATAGATAGATAGATAAACCGTTTAAACTCTATAAAAGTGGGGAGCGATTTTGGCTTTACTGTATGTTTGGGGTTGTTGTCTTGTTGTCTTGCTGGAAAATAATATCTCCCAGTCACAGTTGTCATGCAATTGCAGAGGGATTTTTGCCAAGATTTTTCAGAAGTTACAACATTCATTGTGCTATGAACCTTCTAGGGCCTGCTGAGGAGGAGCATCCTCACATCATGATGCTGCCACCAGTAACTGCTTGTTTCTGGTGATGGGCAGCATTTGTCTCAAACAAATACAATTTATTATAGTGGCAACAGGCTACTTTTGGTGTTATGTGACCAGAGCTGACTTGTTTCAGAGCCTCCCCCCCACATGCCCTCTGGTAAACATTATCCCAGTTGAGATATTTTCAACCCTGGTTTCTCTTTTCTATCATGTCCAAATCCTGCAACTTGTGATGTACCTGGAATATAATGACATGTTAGCATTATTATGTTTGCCATAAAATACTGTATGCCACACTGCAATGATTTTCTTAGTTGCCCAAAAAGGTGTTTATTACAATTATTTCTGGTCCTAAATGCTATTTATGAATTTTTAATCTGATATATGATATTCAGAGTGGAACATTTAGTTAGTCTTCAGTGAGAATAATTGATATTTTACACTGAGAAAAATGCCAGAAATCTACTGGAAGCAGTTGAAGACGCGCTATGGGACCATGTGTTCCTCCTTCGTGCATCCGTGAAAGAAAACCGATGACAACTGTGGATATCCTGTGCATGGTCAGTAGCCTACTGCGAGCAACTGCAGAGTGCGCCCGTAATCTCTACAAAATTATTACTGGGGGCTGGCAGCTGGCAGGGGAGTGGAGGTGGCTTTTGGGGTGTCGAAGCGGGTCCCATGAATTGGGGATGGCGCTGTGTACAGTGCGAGCGAATTAGCAGCCAAAGTTTGCAGAGCGCAGGCAGGAAAGTTCGCTGGAAAGGCGATCCGTGATCCCAAGTTCTCCTGTCATATTCCTGTGGATTTCCAGTGCAAACACGAGGACTACAATCAGATAGCAAGGACTTCTGTGTTGCTTTGTGGATGTTTTGAGTGAATTTCATCCTGTCCATGAAAGATAAGTTGCTGCCGGTTTGCTGTCTTCGCTGCACGCCGCTGCCGTTTCAATGGACTATCGTCTATCTTATCATTCAGTGAGTAACTTGGAATAAAATTGATTGCATGATTTCCTGACCTGCCGAAAAATCTGTACCATCAGCATGACTTAACAGTTGACATGTAGCCTTGTCGTGGGTGTTTAAAAACAATGAACATCCCCCGTGACACGGAACTGGCACCTTTATCTCGGAAACACCGTCTCATGGCTGCAGTAATGCCCGGTGAGGACAGCCCATTGCCCGGTCACAATTCCAGGACTGATCGGAATGGATTAGGGGGACTTGTTCAGTGTTTTATATGTGGCAGTGGAGTTACACTAGGGAAGGAATTAAGATTGCAAGTAACATACCAAAAAGAGAGGGTTCCTTTTTTCCCTTTTCTACAAAATCAGGAGCCAGCCCCGGGTGCATGTGAAGTGAGCCCGGACGGACATGCGCTGGTGTGCGCCGTGTGCCACTGCTTTCTGACGGAGCAGTGGAACTCATTCGAGCGGAGCAGGACGCCCACTGAGAAGCGCATGTACTGGCTGAAACGGCCCTACCAGTGCGACTCTCGGAGGATTCCACAGGAGTGGAACATCTCTTATGACCTGGAGAGGAGAATCAGTGTCAGCAGCCAGAATTACGACGGATGTGCAGAGTCGGATTTCTCATCTTTTTCAGAAAACGAGAACATATCAGACCCGGAGATGGATTTAGGCGACAGAGTCGGTTTGGGAAAAGACAATTGTCTGAAAACATCTGGCAAATCGCCAAGAGACAGTAGCAGGAAAAACAATGTCATCAGTGTTAAAAACAGCCCAGATTCACCGCGGGCAATCCGCCACCCGGTGGGGGTTTATGGATCGCCAAAAGTGGACAGTATTCTGCCAGCGAGGCGTGGTGCTAAAATTATGAATAATATCTGTCAGTCATCAAAATCACTGTCAAAATCCCAGGAGAGGTTCCCCCAGCAGTGCTATGACAGTCCTCTCTCTGACACACCTGTGCAAGATAACGGGGTCATTATGCGCAACAGGCGATGGCTGGAGGAGGGGAATGTCAGACTTGTGGAGCCGCCTCAGATCCAGCGTGTTGTCGACAGCAGATGCGCTCCGTCCAGACATCCACCGCTGCTGTACCTCGGAAGAGGCGAGGATCCCCGCAAGGCTGCGCTGTCATCTTTTGGCACCGCTGCTGTCACCACTAAATGTAGTATAGCTGTTCCCAGGGAGCATAACTCTGACAACTCCGATGAAGATGAGATTAACATTACAAGTGATGATGACAGGGATATGTATGACAGCAAAACAGGCCCAACAACTCAGCTTAGAGCTGCCAGAGATCTTTCAGCAAGAAAGGGTGGCCAATCGCACCATTCAGCTGATTCCAGTTCAGAAGAGTGTGTGTGCTATATCTGTGCCGCTGTGCTCAGACATGATGGCCGTTTTAAAGTCAGCGTTCAGAAACAGGAGAGGGCACAGGGTGAGCCCTTCTTTCCCTTCCTGTGGCTTCACTCCCCTCCCCGTGGTGCATTGCCAATCAGCCTCCCTCTTGCAACAGTGGCAGAGGTTCCAGCTGGCAGATGTGCCTGTCCTCCAGCGCCTTTATGTAATCCCCATCAACCAAGACACCAGTGCTCTCCATCCTCCCCAAGAGGGAAACCCCCCAGATCCCATGGACTGCACACCTGAGACCAAGGCTTCCCAAGATGCCTGTTTCCTCTGTGGTCAGAAACGTGGAGGAGATATGAGAGAAGCATATGTACAGGCTGGTGTTGGCAAATCCCGTGGTGTGATGTATTTTCCCTTCATCAAAATGTTGCCTTGCCCACCTAACTCCCAGGGTGTGAAGAATGGCCGTGTGCGCTGCTGCCCACAGTGCCATTTTATCCTGGAGGACATTTGGGAAGCATATCGACTCAGCTTGAGTGAAGACCTCATCACCTCTGTCAGCTCCTTCCTGGTCAGGTACCATGCTGCTATGGCGATTGAGGGTTTTGGACCAGCTCATTCCCAGATAGGTGTTGCCGCTCGCCCTGGCAGCTCAGTGGCAGTGTGTTACCTGTGTGGAGCTGAGCTGTGTGCAGGTGAAGAGTACCAGCTGCATGTCAACCCACCTGGGCGCTGTGGGGAGAGGGAGCCTTTCTTCCCCTTCCTAACCGTCCACCCTCCTGCACCCCGTGCCAAACCAGTCGACGCCACAGGCCTGGTGTCAGCTTGTAACCTCTGCTATCATGACCTGCATGCCCAGTGGGCCCAGCATGAAAGCAAGGGCATGGGTCCATCCATTCCTTCTACCTCTAGCTTATCCAGCGCCAACCCCCAGCCGCCCAGCTCCCCCTGGGCCCGGCAGTACAGTTGTGAGGCTTTTGTGTGTTTCTTCTGCAGGCAGGAGCAGCGCAGGCAAGGTAGGCTGTGTGCTGTTATTGTGGCCAGGCTACCTGTGTTCCTGTATGCACCTCGCAGCACATGCACACTCCTGGTGGATGATGGGAGGAGGCTGGTGATTGGCTCATGTGTGGAATGTAAGGCCATGATGCAGGTGGGACAAAGCATGCAGCAGGACAGGGATAGGCTGGGACATGGAACCTCAGATGGGGAGAAGAAAGAACCAGAATCAGCCTCGCCACAGTCTAGACTTAAGGTAAGACTGAAGCAAACTGCCTGACAGGACAAAACATAGTGATATGCTTCTTTTTTCCTTGTGCTTTTATATTTTACTCAATGAATTCTTAAGCCTTGTTAAAATGACAGTCATCTGTCTGCATTCCCACAGAGCAGAGCAGACTGTGTTTGCCCTGATATGACCTCTGAGTCACATGATTTTGACATTTTGCATAGTGGGGTTGCTGTGATAAACAAACGCAGCAGAGTGATAATTGAAACGCAGCGCATTTTGTGCTTGTAACAGTTTTACTGTGTTTTGGTTAAATGCATTAATATTTAAATTGCTTAGCGTGTGATGTAATACTGTATACAATTTTTTTGCAGGAGAGTAGATGTTAGATTTCAAACAGTAATGTGTGCTTGTGTATGGGGGGAGAGGGGATGCGGGAGATGATGAATAATAAGACAAACATTTTCATCAAAATGTACTTCTATAAACACCAGAGGAAACCTTTGAGGAACTGAAGGCTGTGCTTGCTGTGCATGTGTTTGATTGTGTTTATTTGAGGAAGCATGACTGAGTGTGTCTCCCCTTTACTAAACAGTTTTGGTCTGAACATGTTGAGGGTATTGTATTTTCATGGTAGTTTGGTTTAAAACAGCTCTATAACATATTGCTTCAGATAATGCTTACCTTGCTAATTAGACCTCTTTTACTTGGAAAATAGACCTCATTTCTTCTAAAAACACCAGCTGTTAACATATCCTTTTAACAGTCCCTTAAAAGCATGCAGGAATTTCAACTGATTGTTTAAACGTGTCAGTCTTTTTATGTAAAACAGTAACCTCAGCATTATGTCCTCATTAAATTAAATTTGACAGCCAAGTCTAATAAAAAAGTAAACTTAAAAAAAGACCAACACACTGTAAATCTGTTCTACCTCCATATGTTTGATTCTAATTATTCCCAGGATTTAGTGTGAATTACTCAAGATGACAGAGAGTCCCACTGAATTACTGTTCATAGATGCTCAGACTGTTCAGTACACTCCTGAAATATTCAAGGTATCCTAACGTTAATGGCAGTAATATATTATCACATCTGGGCCAAAAGTATTCATCATTCTGTTAAGGATTTAACAGATGTTGAAGTATAAAGCTGGTCATTGTCTATATTAACTGTATTTTCAACACTGTCCATACAGAGACTGTTAATGTGATCGGTGTGTCAGTCCTGGATCAGCTTGTTCATCTCTGTTGTTGTTCAAAAAGGATTAAAAACGCAACACTGCTGCACTGGGTGACATATTTCTTCATTGGCAAACCCCAGACCTGAGTGTGAAGGGCTAGCACAATGTAAACAAAACTGAGCGCTCACACACAGTCTTGCACATGCACAATTGACTCTGACTTGTGCTAACTTCAGGAAATTATGGCCAGACAGAGCGTTTGGGCCAACATAGTCAGGCCTGGTGTTTGATTATGAAAGAATGTCGCCCAGTGCACCGGTGTGTTTCCCTGATTTGCTTTTAGTTGTTTTTGAACAACAACAGAGGTCTGTCGCACACTTGTGCTAACTTCAGGAAATTATGGCCAGACAGAGCGTTTGGGCCAACATAGTCAGGCCTGGTGTTTGATTATGAAAGAATGTCACCCAGTGCACCGGTGTGTTTCCCTGATTTGCTTTTAGTTGTTTTTGAACAACAACAGAGGTCTGTCGCACACAAGTTAATCCAGGACTGACAGATATTAAGTGTGAGTACAGGTAATTACTTTGGCAGTGATGTGTATTTAGCCATAGATTCTGTGTATATTGCAAAAATTATGTGATGTGTTATTGAGATTGTTTCTCTTCATAGTCATGACAAAGTCCTGCATGTTATTGTTGTAATACATGATTGTGATGGGTAGAGATGCTTTCACTGGTGGTCCAGATGGGCTGACCCGGGCAGCAGTACATCTACACACTTCCTATGAGGAGAGATCAATCCATCATCGTTCTCTTTCTTGCTTTTTTCTGTCACCAAATTTTTGTTCCTTTCTGCCCTTCTCTCAACAACACACATAATAGTAAAATAGCTTTCCTGCTGTTAAAAAGCTGGTGGTTGAACCCTGCTTTCCACCACTAACAGAGGGTGCAAGTTGGTGGGGGCAGGGTTATATGGAGGATGAGTGCAGGGCAAATCAAGATGACAGTGAGTTAACAGAGAGCTATGAAGCATTTAGACAGCCAGCCAGCCGGCTCTGCGAACCGCACTCTCGTGCAAACAGACACTGGCTGTCCAGCCATACAGGACATGTGAAGAACATCTGTGGATGCCTTTCACACTCAGCAACCACAGTGGGTCACACATTCATACCAGCTGTCTGGAACTGTCCTCTTCTCTCTGTCCCTTCAAGAAGTGTTTGAAGTAACTCTGTCACTCTTACTGTTATCTCCTAGCTTAAATCTTTATGACTTTCCTGAGCTATGTTCTCAGATGAGCTCATAGCAATCACATGTGTGGGGAGACTCCTGATATAGAGTATAATTATGGAACCAGCTTTTCTGCCTGCCAAGGTCGAGGCATCACAGGGTGGGTGGGACGAGACGGGTGGTGGAGCAGACATGGTTTCGGGTGATCATTTTGGACTGGGAGCGTTGCAGGTGGCACAGTCAGTGACCTCATGGTTGAGAAAGTGCCAGTGAGTGTTTCTGTGGTGAAGGGGAGGCGTGATAGAGCTGCTGGGGAACAGGTGCTTTGTCCTTTAGTGTCATGTTATACATGCTCGAGAGGGTCTGTCATCACTGGGGTTTGGGTTGCTATGAGGGAGTGGCCATCAGTTTCCGCTGCATGTGGAGGGGGATGTACAAAGATCAACATGCTCACACACAGTAGCCTGTCCTCTGTATTCTCTACAGTATTTACAACTTCTCCTCTACAATTTCTATCCTCTCATATGCTCACTGGCCCCTTTATTAAGTACATCTGTAAATTGTATGCAATTCAGTGCGATACTTAATTTTGTGACCCTCTCATAGATGTAGCTCAGGAGGACAGAAATATAGAGACACCTCTAAATATTATGTAGTCCTGTCATCTTGATTTGCCCTGCACTCATCCTCCATATAACCCTGCCCCCACCAACTTGCACCCTCTGTTAGTGGTGGAAAGCAGGGTTCAACCACCAGCTTTTTAACAGCAGGAAAGCTATTTTACTATTATGTGTGTTGTTGAGAGAAGGGCAGAAAGGAACAAAAATTTGGTGACAAAAAAAAGCAAGAAAGAGAACGATGATGGATTGATCTCTCCTCATAGGAAGTGTGTAGATGTACTGCTGCCCGGGTCAGCCCATCTGGACCACCAGTGAAAGCATCTCTACCCATCACAATCATGTATTACAACAATAACATGCAGGACTTTGTCATGACTATGAAGAGAAACAATTTCAATAACACAAGCTTTAACTATGACCTCAATAATGAACATATTATTGGATTAATACATTTATGACAATTTCCGTTGGCTGGTGACTGTCTATATTCTACATAGACATGTGTAAACATTATTGTGCATGTATGAAAACGGTGGATGATGCTTGGCAAAATATGAATTAACTCATGAAATGAGATCTGCCACAGGACACTCTGGTAGCTGTCAAATGTAACACACATGCGCACAAGCACAAGTGATGAGCAGTTATCATGTTCTCTGTTCTGTTGCAGTGTGTTTAATTAGCACGTTGGACATGACCTTAGACAAGTCTGTAAGTACAGACCAACATCTGGGGAGGGGCTGCTGGTCAGCAGAGCTCTCACTTGCACTCTTGGTGAAAAAGATATTCGTTGATTTGTGGTTTATTCACTGAAATTGTTGCTGGCATGAAGTTGCATTGTTATAAAGATTGTTTAACTCCTATTTCAGCTTAATGAGATGTGGCACAAATTCTCTCTTGTTTCACTATCCCTTTCCTGTAGCTCAGCAGTGATAAACTGTGTGTGTGTCTGGGGGACAAGAGGGAATTTTGTAATAAAACACTAACAATACATTTTTGTTTTGACTACTTCAGGCTGCTGTAAGAGTCATATTAGCTTGATCTGAACTTTACGGTGCCTTTTTGCACTTAAACAGGATGGATTCTGTCTCCCATCCTTCTATTGGAATCACGTTAGGAAGTGACTGCTTCATCGCCAGGAAAAACAATAAGAGCACACTTCTCCTTTGGGCATGTACGTACTGTGTGTTTTGAGTTGAAAAGAGGGTGAACATATTTACAACGTATTTCTCACTTTTGTCACTTTAAAAAGTGTTAAAGTAAAAAAGTGATAAAAGTAGATAGAAAATTATTGGCAAAGCAAAAACAAAAAGGACTGTAAACAGCTGATATCAAAGTTACATGCTGGTTAAGCTGATTAATAGAAACCAGCATTGCACACATTTGTTGCTGTAAGGATTGGGAGTGAAGCTTAAAACTAAACCCACTTAGTCTCACTATGTCTTCTGCTTGTACAAGGACACAAAACTGCAAATACGTTAATCATTACTCAAACATAACATAGATAAATACTGTGGAATTGTACACACAAACATAGCAAGCCTCTCTTACATATACACACTTATATGTATACATAGGTATATGGTGTGCGTGTCTGGATCCACACATGGATGTTTATATTTGTATGGTGGTCTGCTGAGTGACTGTTTTGAGTGGATGATTATTGTTGACCTGTAAAAGTAGCAGAGGTAGTTCTCTGACTGAGCTCTCAGTTGCTGTGTGTATGTGTTAGCATTGCGTGTTCTGTAGTTTTTTTGTGTGCTCCTTTTGTGTGTGTGTGCATACTGTGTATTCATGTGTGTTTGGTGTAAAAGATGCAGATCACTGCACAGCCCACAGTTCTGTAAAGGAGGCATTTGCTGTGACAAGAAAAACATGCCGGCGTTCTTGACAGTGTCGCCAAGGAAGATTTATAGTGTAGTGAAAGGAGTGAGGGCGAAATTCCACTTTACACACAAATGTGATTGTGAAGTTGAAAAGGAAGAGTGAATTATTGGAAGA